TGGGTATCATCGTGATTTAGATGACAGAAACTTGCAGACTTTACTTAATTGTGTATCATCATTCAGGAAACAAATTACACCTGACATTTAAATATCTTCTAATGGAAGATTACCTTCTATCTGGTACAGCAGATGAAATATTTTCTAGACTTTTGCCTGCAAATGCTTGGAGGCCAGACAGTGTGTAATTTGTCCGCAGAGCCAAGGAGCAGATGGTAGCGAAAACTGTGGGGACTGACCCCCCCATGCCACCACACCACACCCCAGCCTGCCCACCCCCTTCTTCAACATGGGCCTTGGAACGGCAGAGTACAAAGGTTTATTTACACACACAGGTGCCAGTCCAACACAGAGGAGAGAGAAGGGAACACATTGGCTGTAAGACTGCCGGGGGCCGTGGAGCAAGAGAGAGGGAGGGCATGAGTAACAGGAAGATTTTAAGTGGAAGGACAAAACAAATTTCATGCCTGGCACTGTTGTTTAATTTCTCAGACAAATCCTTTTGTTTTGCTAATAAAAGTTATTAGCATTAAAAAATTAAACAATCTGGATGGGAGATATATGTCCAGCCGTCACCAATGACAGTTGTTCTGGAACAACTGCCAAATCATGCCATTATAAATGGCCTGACCTGTATCTAATCACTTCCTTATGTCCACCTGGGTGGATATTTCAGCTGCCAAGTGTGCAACAAGGGATCCTTAGAGTAAAGTAAAAGGAAAATTTATTCATTTTCCCCCGTTAGGGCATAAGAAAGCAACAATTTGCACCAGGAATAATTGGGGTAAGACTGACACCACCCAAGCACAAAATCTACAGCGCAAAGTCATCATACATGCGACACTGCAGGGCACCACATGTCTCTGGCATTGCTGTGGTTGTCATTGTTTGAGGATTTCATCCATTTCCAGATGTCTGAGTCTGAAATCCACCAAAGGAAAGTTTCCAGGCAACTGAACCAGTCTAAATGAAAAAATAAATAAATAACAGCTAAATAAGCTAATTTTACAAAGGAGCAGACAGCTAGAGAAACTGAAGAGTTTTGAAGCAGAGGTGGTGGACTGAACTGAGCACTATGTGCTCTCGGAGAAGTGATGTTACCATTGTGAGGAACCATAATTCAATAACCAATAATCATGTGTGACTGTACAGTAATAGTCAAAAGGTCAGTTTCTCTTGCTCCATCCCCCACACCCCCATCCCCAGACTGAAGTATTGCACAACACTTTCACTACTAATACCTCATTCCTGGTCTTGCTCAGGACATTTTGACCAGGGCAGGCGTTATCTGTGTATAGTGTGGAGAGCACGTGTGTGAGTGTAATTTTATGAGGATGTTACTAGATACACCAAATACAATCCATCTGCCTTTTTCTTTGTATTTTCTTACCACTTCTTTGTTTGGTACATACTGTATACGGGCAGGAGGAATAAACAGCTGAAAAGCACAAGACTGGCTATTAAAAACACCATTGTGTCGGAATTGATCACCCCCCATTCATCATATCTTTGGGGGAGGATCTAGATTATGAGCCAGGTGAGGAGAAATTTGAAAGGTTCTCTCCCTTATTTATACATATGGGATAAATCTTACACAGACAATCAATCCACAGTTGTTTCAAATGTCAACATGGACAGTTTAACACTTGTGAAGCCTGGCTAACAGGGGTGTAAAGAAGTTTCTACTTCCGGGTCACGCACTCATGTACACATGCTGCAGGGAAATGCAGCGCTGGCAGGCAATTTTCCAAAAGGTAATATGGCGGGGGATGGCTCCTTAATTTGCAGTGCTACCTGATGATCTTTGGACTACAACACTTTGGGAAACTCGCCCTTGTCTTATAGTGCAGAACTCTCTCTCTCTAATGGTTAAAATAATACTTGTGCTATGATGCTTTTGGGAAATGCCTCTGTTTAGGCATTGCTACCGTAGCAATGCTCAAGACCCTGAGGTAGCTAACTAGCTAGCTAAGCAAAAAGCAATGTTGATCTTAGAGTTGCATGGCACTTTGATCAAAATGCCGGCACTGGCCTATGTTTTTCTGAACAGTTCGGTGGTTGACAACAGAACAATAAATATTAATACTTTTTTGACTGAAATTTAAAAAAAAAGATTGGAATGTGGGTTATCAAAATAATCAGATAAATCTATTAATGAAATCGAATCAAGATAGAAATGCATTGAATATGATGCATCAAATGGTTCCCTCGATAATCGTAATCAAATCAAATCACCATTAGCCAACAATTTACCTACGTACTGGGTTATATGTTAATACAGGCCTTTTAAGTTGAATAATGAACATGTAACAGTATCAAATAACTGATAAAATACAAGGAGTGCTATCAAGTATGAAAACTAACAAAACCAAAAAAAAATTCACAAATCGGCAGTCTTGGTCAGTGGTGTCTTAATGGTTAGGGAAGCGCACTTGTAATTGAGAGATTGCTGGTTCAAATCCCCGACCAGCAAGGCACCACTGAGGTACCCTGAGCAAGGTACCACCCCCGAGTGCCGAGTTAGCTGCCCTCTGCTTCCTTTTACAGAACAAAGCCAACCAACAAGACAGTAAATTGTTCATTCTACATTTTAAGTTCATGGAACAGAGATCTTGGGTGTTTCTCAATATACATGCTTGACCATACTCGCAGAGCGGCTACACGGGAACACATCATCCTCCATTGCCGAAGCCCAATAATGGAAGCAGAGAGGACAGTAAAAATCCCGGCATGTTGTTCTTGCCCCACCCCTTGACACATCAAGGACACATTGGTTGCATCCTTGCCAAACAAGACCAGTCCTATGATTCATTGCATCAGCAGTTCATTCTTGGGAGGCAAACTAGTAAGACCGGTTCTGCCAAGACTACAAGTACGATCTTTGCATTTTTGATTAAGCAAAACAAAGTAAGAGAATAATGTGCGACAAGACACACTCAAGTCTACAGATTTTCAGAATTTGATATAAATGCACTAAATGTGCCAGTAGATCACATTTCATCAAGGTAGGAACAAACAGATCATGCAAGTCTTGAGAGTCATTTTGACTCATCCAACAGGAGTCAATACCAAATGAAGCAAGTGCTGTTGAAGCGATAGATAGTGTTTTCCCAAAATATACAGATTTAAAAAGAAAATGCAACCTGTAGTACTTCATCAAAGACAAAGAAAAGGCAATCCCTGTTCATATCTGCGATCACCCTTCACAGAGATGATCACTAAGGATTAATCAAGCATTTCCCCATCCACTTCACACATCCATCCATCTTCTGTAACTGCTTGTCGTATTCAAGGTTGCTGGAGTCTGGAGCCAACCCCAGAGGCTACGGGGGCAAGGCAGGGAGTAACTCAGAATGGGCCACCAACCCATCATAGGGCACACTCATGCACTATTCACACGTATGGGCAATTTGGTAACTATAATTCACCTTAGCATGTTCTTGGACTGGGAAGGACATGAAAACTGCACACAAATGGAGCCATGACAGAGACTAGAATCTTGATCTCAGAGGTGTGACACAACACTGAAAACCAGTGCACCACCATGCCACCCCGCTAACATGCTATACACATAATGACAGGCTGTGGATCACAGAGATCGATCATAATGGGGCAAGCATTTAATAAAATCTGATTGCTCGATGGAAAGGGTGTGCGCATCGACAAGGATAAAATGAGTACAAATCTTCAATTTGGCCTCATTTTCATGTATTCTACAGGGTAGAAATAGACTAGGGGTATGGAAGTCTGAAATTCAAGACATTAATACATCACGTCATTAATGGACGGGATTATCAATTTAATATCTATTTATTATTTAAAAATCGCTTACATTTGGCTTGATAGTATAACCGACATGTTTTATTAGGTTATTAATGTATATTAAGCTCCATAGCGATATGTTTCGTTGATTATAACTGTACTTAACTGGATATTTTTTTCACATACTCGTTTTATTTTAAACTTTTAAACAAATATTTACCGAAATAGTAACATGTTTTATTGATTGTAACAGTAAATTTAGTTCCATAGAGATATTTTATGAGGTATTACCTTATGCTTAGCTTGTTCACAACAGTACGTTTGCTTAACAGACATGATATTAATAATTATTACCGTGATGAATCGATATTATTAGGGATTTCGCTGTATACCTGTATGCATTTAATTGCAAACATAATTATATAACAAATTTTCAGGCACAAACTGAAACAGTAACTATACATACTATAATGCTGAACAGTTATATGCGGGAAATTGTTGTGTTATAAAGTTATAACTGTTAGTAAGAAGAGTAGGCACCATTAATGCGAACGATACTATATAATATGCTGCCTATTGAAGAGCGATTTTAATTTTACATGCAACGATATCAAAGCATGGATACTGCGGCTAGATCAATCAAGCTAAAATACATTTAACTACATTAGGGTATATATTCTAACTGTATACAACTGGTGAAAAAGCATCAATGATATATAGGCCAATATAAATAAAAATATTATGCGATGCACACACACATACACACACATTATATTTTATACAATATACAATATATAGGCTATTACTTTTTTCCAGGGTTCTCAACTTTTAAAAGCGGGCTTGTATGAGATTCACGCCAGGTGGGTGAGGGTTGGCAACCCTGTATATTACGATTTAACATCTCATTAGTACTAGACTGCTTCATGGTCATTTGGTAGTATGCGTTAATTAATGACTTTACCATTCATCTAAATTACCGTTGAGCAACTTCCACTCGGAACTGACAGTCAGCTAGACCAACATTTGAAACACAGCCGTTTTATTCTTTCACCACTTTGTTACAATATTTAATTACTAGGCCTATATATAATGGCATAAATAAGCTTAGAAGTTCGTAGAGCAAAGCACACTGCAGCGAAATACGCTGGTTAGAATAACATGAACAACACAGAATGACACTTTATTATATGTCATCCAGCAGCAGAACTTAGTCCACAGTCGAAAGAGTGTACATTTACCTGGTGCCAAGCCTTGAAAGTAGAATATAACGATGAAGATGGATCCGATGGAGGTGGCCAGAAACATCCGCACGCGACCTCTTTTCGTTTTTCTCATCATGACTGTCCGGGGAAGCTCGCGCTGGACTCGCGGCGAACTGTCAGCAAGTCATAAATCCGCCAAAGCTTATGCACTTGCGACTCCGTTTAGTTTCATTTTCTACATCTGTAAACTAGAAAAAACAATAAGTACAACAAATATCTGTACGATGTATTGTTCGTTAACTTCTTCTAGTGACTACTTGTTCAGCTGTTCAGCTCTTGTTTCTCAAAAAACTTTGTCTTCCGCTCCCAGCATCCACATGAGCGGCGTATTTCGGAAAACATCTCGCCACCATTCTTTTCTTCTTTGGTCTATACTGCTTTTATGTCACAGGAGGTTTGCTGACCTTTGCTGAACTCCAAAAACAGAGGGCGATGTGCTCCTTCCTGCCTTATCGTTGCGTAAACCATGACGTCTATCAATCACTCAGAAAGGAGCGTGTTATGATTTCGGCTCATCGGAACAGTGCTGTTCATTGGCAGCTGGCGAAGATTAAATCGGATTTTACTTTATTCTCTTTTACAATTGGAAGTTGCATTCTTAAGGAAGACGTCACTGGGACGGGGTAGATGGAGTTTTTAAGGGCAAACTATGTATTTAATGAGAGGACAACTTTTTCAACGATTTAAATTTCTTTCGCCCATTTAGACTGCTGAACATTTTATATTTTGCTGGGATAATTTGAGCTAAGTGGCAATAGCACGGAACATTACGATATAATATTTGAACAGCAATTTCACGTCTGCATCTCGTTTCTCAGTTTATTAAATACACTGCGCTTGTACAACATTTAGGTGTATTGGACAATCATTTAAGGTCTGAACAATCTAAACAAAATGACAGACAAAATATGCTTTTAAAAATGTTTACAAATAATCAGAGAAAAGCACGCGCCATTATTCACTAAAGGCAAGGATTCGATTCAAACCAGTCAGCTCACTAAAATGAAAACGAAAACAGTTCAAAATTCTACACGCACCAATAGACCCCTCTAGTGGGTGAATAAATAGTACCTAATTTGCCTTCAGAAGGGTAGATCAACCGTACCTACAATGTCTTTCTGCACAATGGTGTAGTACAGTCATGTTGGAACATAAAGCCTTCCCCAAACTGACCCCACAAAGTTGGAAGCATAGAATTGTCCAAAAAGTCTTGGTATGTATGATACAGCGAAAAGCCTGCATCATGTTTGTTTAGTGTGTGGGAAGGGTGAGTCCTCCTGTCGCACATGTGCTGCAGTGAAGGGAGATCTGTCCCTGTGATTTTCTGGGTTAATCCGACCACATGCTGAAGTGACTCTCTGTCCTCACCAGTGCAGTTGCCGAACAACCCTGCTCTGCAGCAGGTTAATATGCTCTCCACAGTGCACTTGTAGAAGCTGTTGAGGATTACTGGTGATATGCCAAACCTGCAGGCAGACTGTGCAGATGAAGTGCACCAATTTTCCTCACTGGATCCCACAGATAGTTGACCAGGCTTTGCTGCCTGGCATGTATTTATTCTTGTGGGCAGGGCCTCTCATGTAAAACCTCAGCCTTCAAAGCCTTGGAGGCCAGCTGGGACAGTGCGTGGCATGTCACCAGTGCCACCCTGGTTAGATAGAGGCCCGGGATTTGGGTCCAGTCTAGGAATGGCCACCGTTGTCTTTTAGCCATCTGCTGAAACACTGTGAGACTGGCTTCAAGGACATCCTCAGCAGTGGGCTTGGTCAGGAGCTGGTAGGCTGCAGGCTGCCTCTTCACTCCATGGGCTGAGATGGATTGGTTGAGTCAGGAGGTCACTCTTAGTCTGGAAGTCATGATTACCGTTGGCATGATTCTGACTGACACCTAGTGGTGTGTGGCGAGTTTGCAACTGGCCATTGCGTCACAACTGCTTGAAGAAGCTATGGTGGAAGCTCTTCAGCAAGGTCCTTGCCTAGTCCAGGTCCAGCATAGAGCACCACTCATCTTACCCGTTGATCAAGGCATCTCTAAGGGAGAGGATAGAGTCAGAGTGACGTGTGTGGACTGTTTTACCAGTGCAGGACTGATCCCAGGCAGCATAGGACACAGGGCTATCCCCACAGCAATGGGCAATGTTAAGATGCCAGCCAGGGCAGCAGGAAGAAACTTGCACCACACTAAGAGAACGTCTGTCAAACTCCATGCACTCAGAACTCAGACAACCAGCCCTGGAGATGTGAGGTAGCAATTCTATTCATTGTATCACTGTATGCCTTCATCAACATGTAATATTGCATTTAAAGTCTGGTAGACAAGAATGTGACCAATCCTCATACCTCATGGTCTTACTGATGCTGTTGTTTTGTTGCTGTAGGTATGGTGGCCCAGAAGGACAAATGTGCTACAAAAGCAGGCCATGCTGAAAACGCATAACACTGTGCACAAAAGCAAAGCACGCTGCAAAAACCTGCCCTACTGCAAGTCAAGGCAAGTTTATTTATGTAGCACATTTTAGATGCAAGGCAGTTCAAAGTGGTTTACAAATAAACAAAGGAATGGGAAACATTAAGTGCAGGTGCGAGGTTCACTGCTAGGACAGTTCATATCAGGCTCCTAGAAGCAGGACTTAAGTCCCATAAAATAAGGAAGAAGCCCGTCATTAATGAGAAACAGGGAAGAGCCAGGGTAGAGTTAGCAAAAAAAATGTATATTTTACACAGGCATGTACCTATAAACTGAGAAATAAGTGAAACTGAAACTTTTCTGTGGTCTCTGTTTTTTCCAGAGCTGTATGAAGAAGGTATTATTCTGCGGATCTTCATGAATATGTCAAAAACCACTGACATCCTTTGCTTTTTCTGTTTTTTAAGATCTATGCAATGTTAATGCATGCTAGTTGAAACAAAAAAAATATCCCTTTGGTGAACAATGAAACTACCGAGAACAATACTGCCATGTGCTTTTGGACAACAAAGCAAAAAAACCAAAGAAAGAAACATTTTATTGTTGGCCCTGTTGTTTCCATTTCTTTCACACCAGACAGGCCTTCTGTTCTGTGGAAGACATGCTTTCATTGGGGAATGTAGATCCAGATTTTCCTTGCATTGAGTGAAAGGACCACAATACCACAGGCCTGGAGACAGGCAAAGCTAACCAGGCTTTTCACAGGGGAGATGGCCACCTGCACATGAAGCGATTCAATTCAATTCAGTTCAATTCAATTCAATTTTATTTGTATAGCACGTTCTCACAACAGTGCATTTGTCTCAAAGCACTTTACAGCATCCCCGCCCAAAGCCCCCAGTGAGCAAGCCAGAGGTGAAAGTGGCAAGGATAAACTCCCTAGAAGGAAGAAACCTTAGGAGGAGCTAGACCGAGACGGGGAGCCCATGATCCTGGGGCTGGCAGGGAAAATCAAAGTCCCAATTCACATTTTCCCAGTCTTAACATTTGAGACACAAAGTGAGGGGCAGGGAGGTGATGACAGGCAAGTGCTGGAGCTGCTTCAGATGACAGGGAGAACAGTAGTACAGCAGCAGGGCATACAAGGAAGACATCACAGACATAAGGGCGAGCAGGCCAGAAGGGCGTCACAGGCAGAAGGGCGTCACAGGCAGAAGGGCGAGCAGGCCGGAAGGGCGTCACAGGAAGAAGGGCGAGCAGGCCGAAAGGGCGTCACAGGAAGAAGGGCGAGCAGGCCGGAAGGGCGTCACAGGAAGAAGGGCAAGCAGGCCGAAAGGGCGTCACAGGAAGAAGGGCAAGCAGGCCGGAAGGGCGTCACAGGAAGAAGGGCGAGCAGGCCGGAAGGGCGACACAGGAAGAAGGGCGAGCAGGCCGGAAGGGCGTCACAGGAAGAAGGGCGAGCAGGCCGGAAGGGCGACACAGGCAGAAGGACGAACAGGCCGGAAGGGTATCACAGGCCGGAAGGGCATCACAGGTAGTGGAGACGTCGCAGGCAGCAGGGTAGGCAGGATTTCTTGATAATTTCTCCAGGCAGCACATCCTAGGGGGAGTAGGGGACATAAAATGTGCAATTAGCAAAAGTAGGGGATACTAGAGGCAGTACAAATGGTTAGGTGAGTGCAGTATGTAAGCTCTGGCAGATAAGGCTGTGGCAGCGTAAGTAGGAGGGACAAGCAGGTGGGAACGCAGGCATGGGGAATCCCTGAAATGTCAGCACTCCAATTCCACAAGGGGGTGTGAAGCTACAATGACAGACTGACAGGTCAGCTCATCCAAAGCCAATGGCACCGATCCTCACTCAGCTCTACACCTCACACTATAGGTCTAACTGGGAGTGAGCAGTTAGCTAGAGCTAAAACTAGTGTCCCTATAAGCTAAACAAAACATGTGTGTTTTTAGTCTAGACTTGTGTGAACCTGAGAGTGAACCTGAATCCCGCACATCCGGTGGAAGACTATTCTGCAGCTGAGGAGCTCTATAAGAGAGAAAGCTCTGCAGCCTGCCGTAGCTCTTTCTACCCTGGGTACTAACAGATATCCTGCTCCTTGAAATCCAAGAAAGCGAGGAGGGTTGTATAAGGCCAGCAGTTTACTAAGGTATTCCGGTGCAAGGTCATAGTAATGTGCAAGGCCTGACAATGATTGAGCATTTCATTCTGGTACGGGAACTGCAAGGCTTCGTACCGGAACTATCTGTAGCGGACAGTGAAAGCAGCTGAGAAGGTTATCTGTGTGTCCCTACCTTGCTTGAAAGACATTTCAAGACCCGCTACTGCAAAAGAGCCAGAAACATAGTGAAGGATCACTACCATCCATTACATGGACTCTTAACATCTGGCAAACAGTATCGTAGCTTCCGTTCTGCCTCCACGAGACTGTGTAACAGCTTCGTTCCACAAGCCATCAGGGCTCTGAACATACTTTAAATTTAGATCATAGCTTTTCTGAAATACCTCATACCTGCACTTTCATGGTTACTCTGTACAATATAGTAACCAGTGCAGTAGTACCGTGCAGTATAATATAATTACCATGTGTAATTTCAGTCACTAAGGCTCCCCACTCAAAAATACTGGAGTGTTGTGTAGTGTTGTGTACTGTTCTGTCCTTTTATTGTTTCGTATATTCATTGTAAATTGTTGTGTACTGTAATGTGATAGCACCCTTTGCACTTTATTGTGTTGCCTGTTTGCACCTTTTTGCCCTGTTGTATGTGATGTTCAGTGTTACTAGATGTTGCACCGCAGCCATGGGGAAACGTTGTCTCATCACACTTTGTACTTGTATAAAGCCGTTGATGACAATAAAGTAACTTTAACCTTAATCTTAACCTTAATCTTAACCTTAATCTTAACCTTAATTCATGCTTATGGCCAGTGACCCTTTCTTTCAAACTATTTTTCAAATGGACACCCTGAAGTCTGCAGCTATGCTTTTAACAATGTAACTGCAAGAAGGAAATGAGGTCAAACAGTAAATTGCTAGAAGTACATTGAAAGAAATGAGCAATTCAGGCTGGTAGTCTTGTTATACATTTGATAATTAAGTGAGATGGTGGTGAAATTTA